CCCAATGAGGGGCTTGAACTCATGACCCTGAGATCAAGACCTGATCTGAGATCAAGAGACAGACGCTTAATTGCCTGAGCCATCCAGGCGCCCCTCTATACAACTTCTTGAGATTTGATTACCTGTACTTGGCATAGAGACCACTGGCCATATTGCCATTGATAACAGGGCTTCACTGGGCAAGGCTTAGACTGTTCCATCAGGGCAGGGCATGGTCGTCCATCACCCTGAAAGGGCTGAGTCACTGTTCGTCTTCGGATCATTTTTCCTTTAAGAGATACAAAGTGATGCAAAGTGATATATTTGTGTAAGCATCTATCTTGAAAGAAGGCATCACAGACATTTCTCCTGAGGAGATCCAAGGGACAAGTCTCAGACATTTTGAAAGGAAAGACACTGATTCAACCTTTATGAAAATTATCTGGTAAGCATTAAAGCAAGAGTGATATTTCATATTCCTTGACTATTAATCTAATGCTAATGAAGGTACAAACAAACCTGTGAGGCCACATGTTTGAGAGCATTCTGACCAAGGAGACCAGTCAGAAAGCTGACAGTTTATAGGACATTCCACCATGCAGGATGTGTTCATCTGCCAGTTCTTCTCCAGGCCAAGCTGAAAGGAAACAGGTAGATCTGTTTTACTGACCTGGAAGGATAGCATGATGTGTCTTATTATTAGAGGGAGGATGGGAGGAAGAAAAAAAATAGTAGTGGGGAGGAGAGGAGAGGAAGAATAAGCAAGATGCATAATAAAACAAAATGGTATCTGGAGGACAAACACCCAAACTTAAAACTATAAAGTTGTTCAACCCACAAGAGTGGGAACAAAGGGCACAGGATGAACGGAGGAGTCCATTTACTCCATATACATTGTTGAACTTTCAAATTGAAAAAAAAAAGTTTTTAAATTTTAGCTAATGCTATCATTTTTTTAAGTTAGTTATTTTTTTTAATTTTTTAAATGTTTATTTATATTTTGAGAGAGAGAGAGAGAGACAGAGGGCAAGAGGGGGAGTGGCAGAGAGAGAGGGAGACACAGAATCCAAAGCAGACTCCAGGCTCTGAGCTGTCAGCACAGAGCCTGATGTGGGCTAGACCTCATGGATCATGAGATCATAACCTGAGCTGAAGTCAGAGGCTTAACTGACTGAGCCACCCAGGCACCCCTTAAGTTTACTTATTTTGAGAGAGAGAGCATATATAATTGGGGGAGAGGCAGAGAGAGAGGGAGAGAGGGAGGGAGAGAGGGAGAGAGAGAGGGAGAGGGAGGGGGAGAGAGAGAGAGAGAGAGAGAGAGAGAGAGAGAGAGAGAGAGAGAATCCCAAGCAGGCTCCATGCTGTCAGTGTGGAGCCCTCCGTGGGGCTCTAGCTCACAGACTGTGAGATCATAACCTGAGTTGAAACCAAGTCAGACTGTTAACTGAGCTACGCTTGACCTCTTAAATTTAAAAAATATTTTTTTTTTGAGATAGACAGCTAGTTGGGGAGGGGCTGAGGTAGAAGGAGAGAGAGAATCTTGAGCAGCCTCCATGCCCAGCACAGAGCCCAGTGCAGGGCTTGATCTTGAGCCACTCAGGCATTCCCGTTGTTGAACTTTTTAAATAAGGAATGAAAAAAAAGTAGATTTAGTCTCTAAATTGGTTTACTTTCCCTAAAGGAGTAACGAGATAGGTGTAAGCATGATTGCTTCCCATTAGTTAAAAACCAAGAATATCACCAATATCTAGATTTATAATTGTATCTTTGGGATATTATTTCTTTTTATGTGTCATGTTAAAACTGAAAAACAAAAGGTTTAAAAGACAAATTATCACTCAAAAAATAATAATATAACATTGAAATAATATTCGATAATACTTAAGTATGTTATCTCTCTCAAAAGGAAATATGGGTTGCCAGAATTTTTTGATTACAAATATTTTATACGCATTTATTTTTTACAAAGATTTTCTTTTCTAAAACTGATCTCAGCAGCTAACTGAGGTATAATTCACTTATTTTGGTTAGCCTCTCATTAGATTCTGATACTGTGACATTTTATTAGCAGTGAGTTCCTTCCTTGTTTAAGCATCCTGCTTTTAAAATATGAGATTTCAAACTCATCTACTTTTTATATGCAAACAGTTAAAAAGCCCAAGGTACAAAGTAGCATGAAAATAGAAGTGCTTAAGAGCTTGTTAGGAGACTACAGGTTTTGTTTTGTTTTTAATCCTTGGGATTTTTAAAATGGTTTTTAAAATTTTTGCATGAAAGAGAAGTTTATAGTGTCTATAGTATATAGTAAAAGATGGCCAAAGAAATGTTATATTGTGGTTCAAGTATAGCTCTCAGCTCTAAGTTGTCCACTGAGAGAGGATCAGATCAGTGACTGTATGGTACACATCTCTCCAGGCATTCCTATTACATTCTTCACCAGTAATACTTGACAAAGCTGAGGATTTGGTATGAACATTTTTTACCATATCACTTAATTAAGGTCTCAAAAAGTCACTTAAATCATGGGAGGTTGGAGAAAGGAGACTTAAGGCAATTATATGCTAATAAGGATGTGTAACATTTAAGGCAGATAATAGTTTCATGGAGAGAGGGTTTGAATCACAGAATTCAGCTACTATGACTTATTTCACTGCAGAGTTGAAAAGGATGTCTGTTTATAGATCTTTCTGGTATCCAGTGGTAAGACATTTTAACAGTCTACTATGGTTTTTTCTTACATTTATTGTTTCTCTTTTTTTCTTCTTCTCTTACTCTTTCATCTATCTAAACATATGTGTCTAACTAAATGAAAAGAAACCTGTTCAGGGATCAAAGAAGAGGAAAGGAGAAAGCAATTACTAGGATTGGATGAATAAATGTCTGAAAAACATCAAAGAAAAAAATGCTATATAAATGCTAGATAGGTTTAACCCTAATTGTCCCCTTTGCTGTGGGGGAATGGCATTATTTCTTTCTGGTTCTTAGGGAAACAGCAAGAGTTAGCTACTGCTGTTGTTCTGAATGCAGGGTTTGCACATGTATTAGTAGGTAGGCAATCAATCCATTATTTAAAAAGATAGCCAGCTTTTCTCAGGGATATTAGTTAATACTACCGCATCCACGGGGATGCATAAACAGGATAGGAGTTGTTTATTCCAATTCCTGTTGAGAGTAGCACTGTACTTCCTAAAGACAGTGATTACTACAATGTTATGATTTGAATCCCTAATTGTTACCACAGTATTCAAACAATGTAACATTAATGCATAAAAGTAAATTTATCTAGGCTCCTGGATAATTAAAATAACAGTTATTTCTCAAGGTTTTACTCACATTTCATTTAAGAAATAAAGGACTCTATTTATACCTCTGTCCTGTAGTCACTTATTTTTTAATTGGTTTTGTATGATTTGGGGTTAGCTTTCACAAAGCTCTCAGCTATTTAATGTATATTTCATTCTGATCCAGGGGGACATTTACATGTACGTTTGCAAAAAAGGAGATATATTAATCAACTGGAAGTAGATGAAAGCTCTCCAGCCAGCATATGACTATAGTAATGTTCATTAATACTAATGTTATTTTTTATAATGGTTACATTACTTTGATGTTACTAGTTTCAAAACCAAATTAATTCAGGTATAAAATTTATAACTAAAGTATGAATACACTAAATTATGTAATAAGATGGTAGTGGGAGGAATTTACTAACTAAACAACTTGTTTTCAGAACACTTAGCAGCTCCATTCCCATGGACAGATATAAGGAAGTTGTTAGGTCTACATGATAAAGATATCAAATGGATTGATATTATCTCCATCTGGAGTTTTCTCTTAGTAGCTGGAATAATTTACCATGGGCTTATATAGCCCCCAAGATGTGTAGGTAGAAGTCATGGTCACCATGTCTGCTGAACCCTAATGAGGTCATAAGCTCCTCTCTATGTGTTCAAGATCTATTGAGGCTCCTGTTTATCTTGGTTCATGTTTAACCCAGTGGGGTTTAGATGCAGGAGGAGTTAAAACCTGTCAGGAATGTGGGGACCCTTTTGGTATGGAAGTCGGACAAAATAATTACAACATGAAGTGTAGCTTCAGGAAGAGAAAGGCCAACAACTATGTTTCCTCACATTTCATATAGTCATACCTAGAAATGATGACATTACTTTTATAAATTGGAAAATTAACAGTTACAATTCTCTGCACCTCAAAGATATAATGGCAGACTTCATTCCTTTGTTTGAATTTCAAGCTCTCTCTTACCCAGACCTGAGTACTTAGACTCTCACAGCTGGATATTAGATCCTAATATCAAAATCTGCTACCAAACCACATGCGATCAATGTTTAGCAACAGAGAGAATAAATGATGGCTCTTGGCAGGTGTCCCAGGCAACACAAAATTCACATGAAATTACAAAAGATGATGAGTAGTCTGATTAAGATTTATTGCCTTTATTCACCTTGATTACTTATTGTTCCCCAAGCATTTCTTTCCAAATAGGCTAATTAGCATACCTTTGGGCTCCAAGCAGAACAAAATACAGGAAATTATGTGTAGAAATCAGTAGTTGGACAGTGTTTCTTTTCAAGAGGGTGCTTAACAGCCTCTGAGTAGTATAGAAAACCATCTGCTGGCAATGAGCTGCACTGAACACAGGTCACTTGGCTCAGCATGAATTGAAATTATTAGGGGAGAATTTACTCACAAAGATATAACACAGTATCCCCTCACCTCTTCACAATATTTCAGGTCAACCGACTTGCCATCACTTCGAACACAATCCAACATCCTTGTTTTAATGCCATTTCCACAAACTGCCTTCTCACTGAGCTGACACGTACTCCAGTCTGAAAGGAAGGGAGCCCATCAGAACAGAAGGCTATGTATGAAACAGATTTCAAATGAAACTCTGATGACCTGAATCCCATATTTAATTCACAACTGCTTCCTAAGCCCCACAATCAATCATCCCACATGCAGAGCATATGGGTCCCGGCTTTGAACATATCAAGAGTCAAATGGAATTGCTGGGGTTGCACATAGCTATGGGGATTATTCTTGAAGGCAGATGTCTACCTGACAATCTTGACAGCTAGCCTTTTGGTGACAGTGTGAAACTGGCTTTGGCCTGCAGATCGAATGTCACTTAAAAACGTTTTTTTCCTAATAAAAGTAGAAATTTAAATTTTAACATTATTTCAAACAAAACACTATTTCACTTACTGTCCATACTTAGAATGTTTTAAAATATACACTTATTTATTTCAAAATCACTTTGGCCATATCTATTTAATTCTTTTATTTCATGTCTTTTGCAAAGTAATTCTTTCAATCTTTCTTTCCAGGGTAGCATAGCATGTCCCAGAGAACTGTGACTTCTTTGTATCATCAAAGGAAATGGAAGAGAAAAACCTAAGGAGACAAAAAGCCAATCTGACTGCTGTGTGTTAGTGCACAATGTTTAGAGTTTGTTTCAGCGGGAAAATTACTTGGGAAAAATTCCAAAATAAGCTTCAGTGTTGCCTTACATCATATAAACCAACGCATTCTCTTCTTTCTTAGAATTTGAGCCTTTATGGTATGAGAGGAGGGTTATGGGAAAAAATGAAGTCATAATAAGTCTTTTCTTCTGAAAAAAACATTCATCCTTTTTCATCTGTACCTTTGATAATACTGAAATGTTTGTCTCTTCTTCATACGGTTTTTTGGTAGCTAAGATTGCTGACATTTTTACATCAGACTCATCATGCTTATAAACTGCCCCCACACCAAGAACTTTGTCCCAGTATGTTATAGGTATTAAACATCTTCTGAAGAAGAAAGACATCTTTCAATAAACCTGATACTTATGGGAAAGATATGTATCTCTTATTTGCACCTTCCCAAAGTGGGAGGATGTCTTCAATAGGATCATTTAGGCTATTCACAATCTACCTTAAGGGCTCAATGTTTGTGTGATATTTTCATTCTCTATCCTGATGTTTACTGAGAAATAGATAAATATTTCTGTCATTAAATAAAGAATTATCTCTGGGAAAGTAAGAAGCATGTCCAAAAGGGACCCAGATGGAGAGGAACAATACTTACGGGAATACTGCTGAGATGAAAGGCACAGGATTTGGCCTTTAACTCTGTGATGAGATGACTACGCACATACCTGTTACATTATAATCATAGTGGAAGCAGTTTTTGTTTAGGTTACAAGGTTCCTTTTCAACGGCATTAGGGCAGGCTCTTCCTTCATCAGCAGGTTGTCTGATGGGATCAGCTGACCTTTGCCGGAAACTGCTTTGATTGCAAGGCTGACAAAGAATAATACAACTCCTCAGAATGGTGAATCCCCAGGCACACAAGAGCTAATATATGAGGGAGAGCACTGGAACAGGAGTTAGAATTTTTGGGCCATTCTCATTACACCTCAGTGTCGCCATCTATAAAATCAAGTGTTAGATGAGTTTCCGATGTCCCATCTAGCTATAAGATGCTTAAGAGTCTGTGTGTCAAATACCAATCAATACATCCCATCACACATATGTAAACACACACATATGATCATATTAATTATTGTAGATCACTAATACAGAATTTGTAAACAATCTATCTAACATAGTTTCTTGGACCTGAAAAACCATTTTAAGGGTGATTTTAACATATTAGTTATTATAGATCATGAATACAGAAATCTATCTGTCATCTATCTATCTATCTATCTATCCGTCCATCCATCCATCCATCTAAGTTTCTTAGACCTGAAAGACCATTTTAAGGGTGGCTTTAAATAACTAGTTTTAGTGACCTTTCTTTTCCTAATGGGCACATATACATGCCCACAAACACAATTCAGCAGTTAAAAAAGACTAGCTTGCCATTCTGTTACTGGCACAGTCTTGTTCTGAAAACATCTGGTTTCTAAGAACAGGAACTTCAGATATGATGCTATGGAATTAGAACAGAAAATCATTTGCATACCCTTATTAAAGAGCTGATTCTTTGTCGCTATTTAACCTGTATCCAAGTCCACCGGCAGCCCTGTTTTGCCCCTGCTCTATCAGTTGGCTGTTAATCAGCACCTTTAATAATGTTAACCCTGAGATAGAAAATTAATCTCACTTTGAAAACACGCATCGTAAATTCTTTGAAACTGTCTTATGTTGTATTTCAGCAAATTAATTCCACATGAGATGTATTCTTCCTGTGTTTTTGATGCCATTTTGAAACGTACAGCTTTGCAGAGGTGCCTGCGCTAAGCCACATTTCCTACATGCTCAGCCAGTTCTGTTTCAAATGACTCTTCCCAGGGTCCTGTGGAAGAGCCCCTACGGGCTGTTGAAATCTAGAAGCTTTGTGTGATTTGAAAGTCTCAGCTGGCTTTCCAGGCCCACAGAGACACGGAGTCAGTGTGTGGAAAGAGATTCACTGACACACAGCTTCCTTCTTTCGATTCCCTTTCTTGCCAGGATCTTCTGCGTTTCAGTGTCAATACCCCTGCTGGAGTATCCCCACTGTGTGAAAGATTATTCCAACAATTTAAATAAAATGGATTGGGCAAAAAGCAAGGGATGACAATAACCTGACACCATTAAAGTACCTTTACTAGAGCTTCATTCTTTTTCCCTTTACCTGGAAGGAATCATTATCACCATGGCAGTTTTTAACATGCTGTGTAGTTATAAACTAATCTGAAGGTATTTTGTGCGGGTGTAGGAGGATGGCAGAAGGCATAAAGGTTGCAAGAAGTTGAGCTGTTCTAGTGTGAGACAAAACACTGCTGACTTTAAATGGCATAATCATAGAATGAAGTAGCCAAGAAAACACCCTTGCTTTCATAAGCAATTTGGTTTAGTAATTATTATTTTCTTAGTAATAGCTCTGAAGCTTTCATGGTAAAAAACTGGGTAAACTCTATATTGATAAATGGTTCATCATCTTACCAAAGTGCATCGGGTCCAAGGACCCCATTCAGATATCACACAATCCTCAGGACACGGTAATTTGCACTCTCTGGAGCCCAGGGGCATCTCTTCTGGATCACAGAGGTAATCTTCTACATGGTCAGAAGGGCCATCCGCTGTACTCTGCATGCATCTACAAGAAAACATATACCTATTCAGTGAAAGAACCAGGACAATTAGAACAATGGCCAACCCATAGGACAGATGGTTCTTCCCAAGACATCATTTAGGTGTTGGAAGGTGGGAAAGTTTGCATTTTATAAATTGAATTCTCCAAACATGAAGACATGAAAGGATCTCTGCCTCCCATAAATACGTGCAGAGCTTCAGTATGATATAAAATCCACACTTGACTGTGTCATCATAATCTTTTATAATTATAGCCACTGTGTGTATTATAAACTCGGTATACAGTCTTCCTCTGAGAGGAGAGGGCCTTTTACACTCATATATGATGTAGCACCTAATGGGGAATGGTCCACAGAGATTCATAGAGGGGTTGTAATTTTGGAATATAATGCACTTTTTTCTTCAGAAGAAAATGGTATAGTCCATAGAGAAGGTAGATTTTTATATGATGAAAGATGAGGCATCCTGAACTTTCCTAGTGAGAGGTTTCATTAGGTATTTTCAAAAATAACTGATGGCACTTATCAAGTTGTTTTGTAATTTTAGCCTCCTATATGCTGATAACTTTAAAAGAAAGCCAGAAGTGAAAACAATTATAGTAGTAATAATAATAGCACACATTCTCTAAATGTGGTTGTTTCAATCTTCCTGTATCTTCACCTTTTTTAGTGTTAGTTTTCTTTTTAACAGAACCAATTCAAACATTTTATTATGTTTCACTGTTTTGTAAACAGTCGTGGTAGTCTTGTTTACTCATCTCTTGAGGAGCTAATTAACGTGGCTAGTATCAGACTTGACTTTTACAGACGTTAATAATCTCCCCAAGCACTGTTCTAGTAGACGAGAAAAACTTTATCCCTCATCTATAACTCAGAGAGGGTCAGTCAGCTTAATAGGTTGGGGAAGAGAATGCATTGCTGGAACTAAAAAGGCAGGCTTGAGTTCTTCAGCCTCTCAAACCCATTGCAGTGTTTTACACTGTTGGTTAAATTACATTATCAATTATACCTGGAATTTCACCTTTCCCAGGGATTTACAATCAGTGGGGACATGGCATTTTCACAAACCTACTCTGCAGAAACGCCTTTCTATCCAGTACTGCCCAATTTAAGAGAAACATCGTTTTCCTGTGGGATGCATTTAATGGCTGGAAAACTGCTATTGGTCATGTCTTAGTTGGATTTTTGGTCTGAAAATATGCCCATACAATACCACCTACGCATCTTTTTTTTTTTTGGTATATCGGATAAAAATAGAAAACCACCACAAAAACATGCAAAGGTAGATATTTGATTTCATCACTGAAGAAGAAATTATACATTTCTTTGGGAGAATTTTAGTTTCCCAGGAAAAAGTTCTATCTTCAATGGCACTGAAAAATGTTCTGTTGACAGGAGCTTTGAGAGGACATGAAGCGGAGTTTAATGCTCAAAAGTTGGATTTGCTGCTAAGAAAAGATTGAATTCATGGTGGGCACTGACACAGCGAACAAGGATTAACTTGCAAAATTACCTATTGATCCAGAGTTAAGGACAGATGTTCAATACTCGATTAAGTACTTATATACATAAAACTACATTTTCACAGGCTTTTCTTCTTTAATTTTTTATTACATAGGTAATTTATTCAGTTTAGGAAAGTCAGAAGAAAAAAAATCACATGAGTCTATCACTCAGAGAAAAGCATTCTTAACAGACTCACAAAATAGGAACAAACTTGACTATTTTGTGCCATTTAAGAAAAAATTTAAAAATACATTATGGATGTAACTTTTAGTGACTATATTCAAATAGCCTTATTTCAAGGTGCCACAATTGCTAAAAAGACCTTTATTGTTGACATTCAGATTCTTTATGTTTTACTTACTTCATTTGGTATTAACCAGCTTTTAAAATCACTCGAGTACAGACTAAATATTTGGATCAAGTTTTAAGCACAACGGAAGGCACCTTGAGTGCATTTGCTTTATTCACATTCTTGGCCTTTCTCCTTTCCACAGGAGACGGAATTATGATGTGAGAAAACTGAACTGTATTAGAAATAACATCATGCAGAACCAAGCTGAAGGCAAAGGATGGAGCCAGAGGCCCACCACGGCTGTGACAATAAGGGGCTACATTGCAGAGAATTCAAAAGCAACCATGAAAGTAACCACATCTGTTGCTTTTTATTATTATTATTAATTTTAATTGTCACCATGTGCTGGCAATTCTAAAAATAATGTCCACGAGCAAATATCCCTTCTGACCATGGAAAATCACTTCGGCCACTTAGTGTATGCTATGCCGTACCATCCTAAAAGAGAAAGAATGGGATTGGATAAATTGGAATATGCTGTCTCACAGACTCATCTATCCTGAAATGTTGCCCAATGCTTGCATATAAGCAGTACATTTTGACCTTAATTATTAGCAGAGGATAAGGTTAGAGAGGTTTACTACTCAAGTCAGTAACAAAAAGGAACATTATTATGTGATCAGAGATCATAATCAATACTGACCTTCTATTTTCTCTATTTACATTAAAGATGTTTACTGAAAACATAAATTGATCTCAAAAGTAACTTTGATTAAGAGGTATTTGGAAATGGTGAGAATATGTATTTATCAACCAAGAAAAAGCAACATGTACACAGATAGTTGAAGGGAAAGCTGGAAGAATAGTTTATTTTTTTTAATTAAAAACATTTGTTTTTAGAGAGAAAGAGAGCATAAGTCAGGAGAGGGAAAGAGGGAGAGGGAGAATCTTAAGCAGGCTCCATGCTCAGCGCAGAGCCCAACACAGGGCTCCATCCCATGACCCTGGGATCATGACCTGAGCTGAAAGCAAGAGTCGGAGGCTCAACCGATTGAGTCACTCAGGTGTGCCACTTGTTCTTTATTACGCTTTTTCTTACTAACTAAAAGCACAACTTGATCAAAAAAACTTTTATAAGGAAAGTATTTTTAAATTTGAAGGAGAAATTTTAAATTTGGAAGGGAATGGTGGAAAATGGAATCTCTGTCTTTTCCTTACATTTCCCTATCATATTACCTCACAGGCCCTCTTCCACCTTTATTAAGTTCCTGAGAAAAATACCTTGAGAGTTCAGAGGGCTTGGGAAAAACAGATAGAAATTATTATTCCTGGAAGCAAAGTTACACATAGTGTGCCAAAGTTTTATGATACGAATGCTAATTTGCTCTACTTTTCTGTTGAGAAATATAAATCTTATTCATGAAAAGTTAGATCATGGGTGACAGTGGCCTTCCTCATAACATAAGTAGTCAAGTTCTGGATGTTTTTACATTTGTCTATACTGTGTGTCACTCAGAAGGGTTGGAAGAAACTGGTATAAAAAGTGATAAAACAGGGCACCTAGGTGGCTCAGTTGGTTGAGCGTCCAACTTCAACTCGGGTCATCATCTCACGGATTGTGGGTTCGAGCCCCGCATCAGTATCTGTGCTGACAGCTCAGAGCCTGGAGCTTGCTTCAGATTCCCTGTCTCCCTCTCGCTCTGCCCTTCCCACTCTCTCTCGCTCTTAATTTTT